AGATTTTTAATCTCTTTCATATAAGCTGTAGTATTAACTTCATAAAATAGGTCTTGTCGTATATATACTTGGATAGGGATAAATAACATAATGTAGTTACTAATATTTTTTTTTTATAACTTATATAACTTAAAGCATTACCCTTTTTGTTCATAATTAATAGAATTTATATGAAACTGGCTGCTTAAAAATCTGTTACTCATGCAAAATAATTGCTTTTCATAATTAACATTTATAATCTCGTATTATCTATCTTGGTCTTTATCGTACAAATTATTTATTTTCTTATCAAATAATAGAAATATTGTTATTCTACATATATGGATATCTGTGAAGATATATTTATATCCAATGACATAGATGATTAATTTAATGTGAAAAATATTTTTAACTATACATCATTTTTATTTTAATATACAAGAATATATAATCTAACGTATTCATGAGTATTATGAAAACTTAATATTAATTTAATAAATCTTCAAATATGTCTTCGTTATTGAATAGCGATACTTTAATCAAATTATTCCTTTATTATATAAATTAATAATAAAATAAAGTAAAATAATATTCGTTTCCTTATCCAATATTCCCAATTAAAACCGATTTAAGATACTTTAATATTCATAATACAATTGAATCCATCGTGCGGGCATCATTGTTTTAGTATAGAAAATAAAATAAAAGTATGAAAAGTAGGCTGAAAATAACGAAGTATCCAAAAATTCGGCAAAATTACAATTAATTTCCAGGTATTATCGTTATTATTATCACGCAATTTACTGTTCCCTTCAATACTTGACTGCTGTATTTCTTTTTCTCTTCATTTTTTTTTCGTGACATGTTAAGTTAACAAAAGATAAATCTCTCGAGCAATCGGTTAAGTTTCGTCACATTCAATATATCGAGTAATTAATCAATGTTTTTTAACTTCTTATTAATCACAGTCAACACAGTTACACTCGATTTCATCTATTCGATTAATGATAATTACGCATTTCGTTAACAATCGCACAATAATTATAGATTTTACATTTTACATTATGATATAACAATGATTAATACAAAGTCAAATTAATGACAGTAGAATATCCATCTTAATAATGATAATTATATTATTATATGTAATTTCAAAATACAGATTATTCGCACGTAAGCTTATGTTATACCTTAGCGAATATGAGGTACATGAGAACATCATCAGTAACTATGGTAACAGTAAGGATACTTGCGAGACAATTAACCATGAATATTATAACAAATTATAATTATATATTTATTTATAATTTGTAAATTACATTATTATAAAATTTTAAAATGTGCATGATTGTCGAGATATTCATTCCTAAGATAAAACTAATGAAAAAAGTATTTTGCTTTAAGAAGTAATCAATTGATAAATAATTTCTGACAATTCTTAATATTATAATTGTTTAGATATTCCAAAATAAAAATGGTATCCAATTAAATTTTTACAATAAATTATAAACTTTTAAATACGTATATTTACAATCTATTAATATTATTATTTTACTTAATATGAATGTATTTATATTATATAATAATTTATATATTTAATAGAAATACAAATTACACAATCATTTTACGATTTGAAGTTTAAATTTTTGAAGTTGTAATTTTATATTCTTAGTTTGGATTTTAGTTTGCTCGAAACTGTCGAATCAATTGTAAATTCAATCCAGTTTTAATTATGTCATTCCATTCAGGATTACTACTACATATATTTCGTGATAAAACAGTGAAAAAAACTTGGTGAAAAGAAGAAAAGTGAAAAACAGTACGAAAGCAAATTTAACAGGTATGTGATGTGGAAATGCGAAGCGAAAAAGTAAACAAGCTTCTCACTTACAGAAACTTGAAGAACTTTGTGCGAGGAAAAGTTTGGAAGATGATGCTCGCTCAAACTCGTTGAACTTATTCGTTCGGCAGTCTGTAAAATAAATTGCACCTGTGTTAAGGTATGATGACTTTGCCACGAGACTACTGAAAAATTCGGTATACGTGATGTTTTCGAAAATATTCCTATTCTGCCCTACTTAGATTCTTTCTTTTTTTTTCTTCTTGAACATAATAAAATTAAATAAAAACTTAAATGAAAATGTTGATTTGCAAATAGTTATATGAACGTTTTTTAAAAGTCTTATTCGGTCTATTCTAATTCTAGATATTATTAGTAGTAAAATTAAATTAAAAATTAATTACGAAAATTATCAATTACAATATTATATTACATAAACATAAATCCTACAGAAATACAGTATTTTATAAAAATACAATTTTTATATTATAAATACATTAGTAATAAGGATATCGTTACACAATTTATCGTATTCGAAAAAATATAATATATTTCATTAGTGTATTTGAAGGTCGTAATTTAGTTATTAACATCCGTATCAGCAGGTAATAGTTGATATTTATTTTCTTATATCGTAATGGACATTAATTATAGAAAAATTCACATTCTAATCCATAGTTTAGATAGAAAATTATTATCTATTTAATTAAGATTTACTAAATTTCGGAAGAAAGCTGCAACTATCTTTAATGATTTTTAAAATAAATAACAAAAAATAAATTAATTGATTCTACTTATATACTAATATTATAAGCTTAAACATTGAATAATATAAGGATAACTTATTTTAAAGTCATACCTATTATTGAAACAATAATGCCTATAAAAATAATTATTTTATTAATTGATAACCGATCAGACAATTTTTAATAAATGTTTAGTATATATATATATATTAGTTATTCGAGAGTATTTACTACAAACTCTAAGCGTACCAGCACTGAATCTGTCCTACTTAATACGTAGAGTGAAAAAAAAGTTCAATAAAACGCATTTCGATATAGTGAGCCTCAAATTAGAATATAAGTAGTTTAACCTATGTGCATTTAGATATTAGCATACAAATGAAGAAACCATGCAAAATACATAGAGTCACTTAGACAACATTAGCACTTACATACCATACGGCAAATGCACATCAATACTAAGATATTGTAATGTATTTTTACTTTCTCATAGACTGAACATATACTATAGAGTGACCTACATGTGGCCTTATAAATTCTATATGGAAGCAAACATTAGTTTCGGCTAAATTGTGGGACAAATTGTCGTAAATATCTGAAGATAACAGAAACTTTTGGACATGGCTACTTTTCTTAGAGTGAGATAGAAAGTATACATAGTTTATTGTAAAAAGATCAACTAAATAGTAAAAAGTAGTAAAAAAGTAGTAGAAAGAAATTATATCGTAAACAAAAATTGACCCCATTGTTGGTATATTATATCTCAATGTAATAACAGGTAAATAATTAAAAAATATATTTTGGTCTTAAAATTATTAATTATAACATCAATATGTATATATATATATATATATTATATTGTAAAAGATATAATATGTTTGTATTATGTTTGCGATAAAATTATAAGTTATACAGATAATTTTATAAACATTTTTATTTGAAAAATTTTTTTACCCTATATTACGAAACTTTCCATCCTGATCACTAAAAAACAAGTAACTATAATGTGCACTAATTTCTCTGCTCCAACTTGCTTACACTTACATGAACTTCATCATACGTGCCTCTAGGGGACAATTATAGTGTAGTATATTGTACGAAGTCTAATCGCATGAATTTATATGCTCGTATTTATATGCACATCTACCGTGAAATCAATAGGCATGAAATACCATAAGCGAGTAGTTCCGACTTACGGAAAGAATATTTAGATTTACCGCTAAATGAAGGAAAACTTTCATCGTTAAGATGATCTTAAGAAAGCGGCAAAAAATCTAACCTACGATTATTCAAAAAGACAGAGGATTTTCTCTGTTCTATAGGTACTATGTTTGCATTACAATATTCTCCACAAGAAATTAAATGTCAATGTATATTTGTAATGACAATCGGGATAAAATATAGAATCGATAAATGTGTATGAATTATTTTTCTTAGATTTTTAAAATGATAAGAGTACATGATACAAAAGAGAGTGAGTTAAAATTTTTTAATTTATCAATTCGGAATTACAGGACGTCAATGTGACAGAAAATTTTTAATCCATTTGAAACTGAGTGACCAGTTTAATGGCCAATTATATACCAATTAAATGATTGCGTCTTAAATAGCTCTACTAAAATTAAAAAATTCCAAATGTAAAGAGCATTTGATGTATCATTTACTTTAATGGCTGGTAATTAGTATCTTATAATGAAATAAAGTTAAATGAATTATTTATTAAAGTATTAATCTCAATGTTCTTGATACATCGTAGTAAAATTTTACGAAGGTATTTTATGATCGATAATATAATCGAAAAATGTGTACAATTATTTCAATAAATAAATAATACGTTAAAGTCCTTTTATAATTAAGTAATTATTATTGACAATTCAATGTTTGTAATCAGAAGAAAAGAAACAGTCAATCATGAAGGGAACGCGCTCGAAAATTATACTTTCCTATGAAAATGCAATTGTTCGTAAATATATTCAGTAAATTATGATTCGCTCGAAAAGACATTTTAAATTAAATCTCTTTCATTTTAACATAATTTTTTTATATAATAAACATGCGAAGTAATGAATTATTTAACAATAGCTCGATAAAATTGAAATTGGAGTTTCAATTAGATTAGAGAAGATTAGATTTGATAATATTATTATTCAATAAATGAAAATGTGCATATTTAAATATAAATATTCATTCAAATATTGAATTTGTAGTATCAAGTGGTTGTATAATTAAATTCGCGCGCCTAAATGCGCAAAGGAATACCACGCCATGTACATAAATCTCTAAGTGCGCAGATAATTAAACAAGACTATAGAGATGAACTAATTGTAAAAATGTACGAAGAATGTCCATTACTGCATTAAAAAAATAACTTAAATTTTGGCGAAACGTGCGAGATGTTAAACTAAAATGGATTCTTTTTAAATTCAATGTTGCAGGTGAAAATCCAGCGGCGATGCAGCATGGGGCGAGCGAAGCTCTCAGGTCGACTTTCCTAATCACGGTACTCCTGACATTGACCTCGATCTTGAGGTGACCACGAGGACTCAACGAACAGCATATGATGTTGGCACAGTAAAATGAGCGCTGAAGAAGAATTAGAAGCCTTGAGACACTATTTTGGGCTTATCAACACCTAGGAAGCCGAAAGCACAGATATTAAAAGTGTGGCTTTCTACATTCCCGAACAGACGCATGTTCGTGCTGTTATTTAATGAACGTACACATACTCCATTGTTTTTGGTTTCGGTTCTTTTTATAGATCGGCGATATTAAAATATAGATTATTAAGGCGAGAATATTAAATATAATGGGAATATAAAAATTTGGACTTTTATTGCATGTTTTTCCATCTGCTATGGGAGGGAGAGAGAAAGAGAGAGAGAGAGCGAGAGAGAGAGAGAGAGAGAGAGAGAGAATTATCGGGTCATGTGTAATACCATACTGCATGTTTTGTATTGTCTACGATTTTATACTTCATTTTAATACCTTAAAAGATCATTAACATTTAACTACATCTAATCATTATATCAGAAGATATGGAAAAAAAATAATAATAATAAAATGAAATAAGTTATAAACACCAAGTTACGAAAATTTCACATACTGCAATGTATGAAAAATAATTCGATTATCTATGACTCCATTCTGTTTCCAAGAGTCGACTCATTGTGAGAATTATAATATTAACATATTTATAAATATATTTTCAATGCTGTAATATTTAAGCTTAACTATTTCTCGGGATACAATCGAAAAAAATAAATAATATAATAATGCAAAATTAGTAAGTTTAAAATTGAATTTTCTGATTTTTTTTTCAATTTATGAATAAGATAATACAAAAATTAATCATTGATTAATTATTATAAAATAATTTTAAAAATTAATGTATTTATAAAACTTTTTTGTGTTTATTAACAGAAATCACATTACAAGAACATTACCTAATTTTTAAATAAAAAAAAATTTTAATAGTATGGAAATATATTATTAAATATTTCAACTAACAATCATTTAATGTATAAATTATAATAAAATAGAAAGAGATAATTACATTTACTGATTATCCGAACAATTTGATTTCTGCCAGATACTCAAGTTTTTTAATACCGAACAGTTTAATGAAGAAAAATCTCTTCATTTCAAGACTTCCATATGTATTGTATTTTTGTTTTTATAAAGTCAGAAGAAAACTTTTACTATTAATGATAATTCAATTGTTCACCTTATTTGAGTTTCCGAAATTTCGGCACATCTGTTTCTATAAAAATATAAAAATGTATATTTCAAAATATATAATCGCAATAACTTATACAGCTAGAAAAAAAGTTTTTACACTTGATCATAGGCATCGATAAGGAAAAGTCGAGATTCATTGCTGAATAAAAAAAAAATTCGTTAAATATAAAGCATTTCGTGATAAGATATATAAACTCTCGAGCGAAGCATCAGCAATTCCGAAATCAATCAAAGTTCTTTTATAAACGAATGATTCGATATAAATTTTAAATATTAATGTAAAACCATACGGATATAAATATTCTTGTAAATACAATGTCAGATATAGTTAATAGATTAAATTTATAGAAGGCAAAAATGCTTAGAATACATGAACAGACAAA